GAGATTGCTAATCTGTTTATATATTTGAATATTTATGAGCGTGAGTCAATTAGAGACTGGTACTCATTAATTCTAGAGTAAAGATTACTAACATAGTGATTTCTACATACTATTATTACTCCCTGCTAATCTCTCGGTTAAAAAGTTTACGGCATAAACAAAACATTAGATTATTTTTTATTTATGACATTTCTCATAAAAAAAAAGTAACACTTTCCTTTCGCTATAAATATTGAGAACAATTTTTATTGCATAAATAACGAATATACTCTCGTTTACATCATTTTCTAAAAGAAGTTTACTGCTTCGAAAAGAAGTTTATTGATCTTTTGATAAAAATTTTCATTCGTATAGATACGAGTAACGAATACAAAAAGTTACTGATCTGTATTTAATATTCCGTTCAGACCATCATTTTAATTCGTAACAGATGTTCAATTATTCATTCGATAACATTATTCTATAGATCACAAAATATTACGTAATTATTTAGAGCTTCGGTTGCAAACATTTCGTCTATTTGAACACAGCGAAAGTGTTAAAAGCATCGAGTGTATCTTTGAGTTGTTTTATTTACGCAGCAACTTTCTACGCGACGTTGATGAAACATCTACAATTTCGAATCGATTCGTTAGTCGACTCCATTCATCGCTTGATGAATTTCGATCGAGCTACTTTATTCTATGTTTTTTTTAGAGAAAGAATTTTTTTATTTTTCGTAAGAAATCGATATTTTCGGTGATTATCGCGAAAAAGTATCCGCAAGTTTTGCAAAATTCTCGCAGCATCGCTAGGAAACGAGTGAAAGGAACGGAAGAGTAGGGACAGAATTCTGGAGTAGGAGAAACTGCTCCATTATTCAGTCGCGTGGAATTAATAATAATGCTAAACGTTGTGTCTTTACGATCCACTTACAGTTAGTTGCACAACGTGCTTCTGTAGATGGAAAACTCTAAGTCATGCAACGAAATACATCTCGAGCGATCGTTTAAAGAAAAACTGCTATCATACTGTAGAAAACGCTTTTCTTTCGCATTTTTTATCAGTACTATTTTACATAATTTGTTAAATTCACCAACATTCTTTGCACCTGTAAATCTTAATAAACATAGGCTTTAAGATTACTTTTCAGAGTAAAAATAATTAACTTTTTGGAATACTAAATCTCACATACCTACAGTTGATATCTATTTACAGTAGTATAGTATTTATTGAATTTTTCACAGACATAAATTATATCTGGTCTGTCAAAGTCATCATCTTCTTTGAAAGAAAGTCTTGCTATTATGATTCATGGCTTTACATCTCGTATATACACAAATTCGTCTTTCACATTTTTACCATTTCAACTTGATTATTTTCATGCATGACTACACACATAATTTTCTAAGTGCGCCCAGTTTAATTGCATAATTTGTCTTAGAATGACTCCCAGTTAAATGGGATTCGTAACGCCTAGTCACGTAACCACGATTTTCCATCCACATTCCATTACTCGTTCGTCCACATATTGTACACACAGTGTATTACATATGTACCTAAACATTTGACGGCTAACTTTAGCCACGTGTTTATTCGTTCGCTGTTGAACGACTTGAAAATTTATTTCTGAAAATAAATTAAAATATAGTTTATTAAATCTAGTAGAGTCTTTCTAATTTAGATATATTATTTTTTTCCTCCCACATAATGTCCATACGACAATTTCAAAATGTCCATTGTGTCTATTCTAATTATAAAGTTATCTTACATTCATTTCATTTTGATAATTTTTTTCTTTTTATTTTTTATAACGATGAAAGTGGCGTAACAATATATTCTGGGAGTATAAATAAAACTAAATGAAGGTGTGAGAAATCGGTATCATAAATCGTTGTCATAACGGCGCGTCTTATCGAATCGTTCTCGATCCCCTTCGCGTTACGTCCAGTTTTCTGGTATAATCAGCTCGAGCAGAAGAAAAGCATAACACGGTACGCGAATTTCATCCGACGAACAAGAGTGTTTCACCATTATTTTCACCAACTTATCGCGTGAAGCGGCTCGAACCGGTGAAAGAAACCGTGAAGGCCTTCTTTCGAGAACGCTGAAGTGCGAAGGAACAGCGCACGTTTCTAGCCGTGGCATTAGTCAAGAAAGACAACGTTCGCGGTTATTGAGATCGCCGTCTTTTGTTTCGAACGTTGAACGAGGAGAGAAGGTTTCCACCACGCGATCTCGCGATCGCCGGCTAAAGATCGTCCGAAGGATTTCACCGGCGGAGCGGCTCTGCCGATTCCCCTTAAAGTAATCTCAGCTTTATATCGAGCAAACGCCCCTGCAACGGTTTCGAAATAATGAAAAACGATCCGCGTCGTTAGTCGCGCGCTGCAGATGCCGTTAATCTTGCATAACGTCGTATCTGGAAGATATTAAATCAACGATTATTCTGATATTCGATGGGTGAACGACCCCTTGCGTGGATGTTTTACTTACAAGCGAGCAACGAAACGGTTCGAGTCCTTCTGTTGGATTAGGCTTACTGAGGGCAAGGTCTGTGGCCCGCTGATGGTCCACGGACCGATGAGTCGCAAACCGATGCGTCTGGGCGGTCGCAGTTAACGCGTTGACTGCCAAACTGAACTCAAATTGCCCACGAAAATGAAACTGTGCTTTTAGACAGTTGGAAACTAACTTACCCACAATTTCTCATATAATTCATTTTTATAATGTCGTTAAAATTCAGGGCTCTTATCTAAATTAAATTTTCTTTAACATCGAGTCTTGAAAATTAATTATTTTAAATCCTTGATAATCAATATGTTAAAGAGATATTCTCATATAATAACTCTAAAAGTAACTGAATTTTAAGAATATTTTTTTTTAAACTATTGGTAATTTATAAGTATCAAAAGTTTAGTTTTGGAAAATATAGGTCAATATAACAATGACCAGTCATCCTATGATGAAACTAATAGTTGTACCAGCAAAATATAATATATTCAAAATGGAAATATATTCCTATGGCGTTTCGAGCACTATCGTCACGTGTAATGTATTTCAAAAATGATAGACTGATCAAAAAGGTTGCAAATGAAACAAATTTAACAAAATCCAATTATTCTGAACCAATGACAAATTTTCACGGCATCCGCGCCTGAAATACAATGCACCCAAGGAACAAACGTTGCAACAAACGCGTTTTGAAACAATCGCAGAAGAATTGCATGAGAACAGGAGGAAATCAAAAGGATGAAACTCCTCCGAAGGACGAAGGATGCTATGTAATTTCGCAAGACTGGTTTTGCAGGCGTACGGAATCGTTCTGTTAAATAACTTTCGCGCGCGGTAAACAGCGTCGCGGCGGAAAAGTGTTCTAGGGAAGATGACATAGAAAGCAGGAAGGATCTCTGCATATTTGTCCCGTAAAAGGGAAAGAAAACGGGAGTGAAATACGATCGCTCCGCGATGATAGAGCCGACGCAATTTGCCCCGGCATCGTTACGAAGTATCCGAGCGTGAAGTATCGCGCGATAAATTCAATTACTTCGTCGTTAAATCATGCACAATAGAATCAAAACGACGTGGCTGCGTTCCGTTTTGACTGGGACCGATAAGCTCGAATTAATTATCGGAAATTGAACCGTAAGGGACAATAAACGCTTCTGGATCGTTTGTCTTCGACCGCGATACGAATGCAATTAGACTGGTAACGGAGGGGGGTGACTAATTTTTAACATTCGTCGCATAACATTGCGTACACGTATTCATTCATCTCGAAAATAGAATCAATCTGTTAATTTAAATTCCTGCGTGCGAATACATTCGGATACGTTTCTTCAAATTCGATTTATAATAGGCTTTTTAGAAATGGGTGTATCGTTCATCGGTGTAGTTTAAATTAATCCTTCGCGGTAAGATTTTTAATTTTTTATTGGTTAAAATACTATATTTATTGGGAGAAATGGTAATGGAAATTTTAGTTTGAAAGTATTTAAATATGTCTTCTCAAATCAAATTTGTAGTTAGTTTTATTTTAAATAAATATACTGTAAATAGCAGATGTGAAATAAATTATATTTATTGGGAAAAATAGTAAAAGAAATCTCGGTTGAAAAATATCCAAATATATTTTCTCAAATCAAATTTATAGTCAGTTTTATTTTTAATGAGATGTAATATATTGTACATAGCAGATGTGAAACGAACTATATTTCTTTTACTATTAAAACATATATGTTTTTCCAAATCGAATTTGTAGACAGTTTTTTTTTTACAGATATAATATATCGTACATGGACGTACTTGAAATTTAATCAGAAGTCAAAAATTTTAAAATAATCTTAAAAATAAATTTTTAAATATTTTAAAATTATTTAACGTTTTAAAAATATGTAATCGAACGTTAAAATTTAAAAGATTCATTTCGTTGGATTTTTCTGGGAGTCTCACCCCACCACTACCAGCTAACTAAATATATCCGCATTTCTTTGGTCGAGCTCATTGGTATCAAAGATGTCGTGGTGTTGAGTTCGCGTCTTAATTTAGTCGAACAATAAATTAAAAAAATTAGAAATATAAAAGAAACGCCTGTAAATTATATATTTCACTTTAAATACTCACTTTCTTCAAGTCGTTGACAATATTTCTAACGTAAACGATTAAAAAATCGTTAAAATAAAAAAATTAAAATTTCATTATTAACTCTAACAGTATTCCAGTGTTTCTGTTTGCAAACTGAAATCTTTGCATCGTTCCAAAATAAAAACAGTGTTGGCCGTAAGGTTTTCGATTATTAATTTTACAGAATAGATTTTAATCGGTGGACCACGGTGCCCTGATAAAAATTTCGTCCACCGTATCATCTACGGGGATACCGGAGCAGTGCTCCTCGATAGAAGAAACCAGGTGTGTTCTCCAGGGAGGCCTTCCTATGCGGCAGAGATCGGACCTGCCGGAAGAGTGGGGAGCTCATATAAGACACGAAGCCAAACGCCTCTCCCAGTGACCAGTCTCGACACGAAAACTCATCAGCCGAGCTTCTTCGGTTCTTATAAGCTCTCACTTCACGCTTCTACGTCCCATCCTTGGATGGTTCCAAACGGCCGGACCGAAATTTTAGTAGATTCGAGTTAATCGAATTGGTCTTACCAGGAGGGCCGTGCACGGTATAACTCAGAATGGCATCGTCGAAGGTTCTCTCGTTCCTTCTGCTGTTCCTGGCTGCTCACGGTGAGTCCTTTTGCGCTGCTTTCTTTTTCTTTCTGTTCTCTCATCCTGGTCCAGCGAGTCCTGTTCCGTTTGCCTTCTTCTCCGTTCGTCCTCTACCCGTCTCCTTCGTCCAATGGCGTCCTTTTCACTCGTTGACGTTTCACGGAAAAATAGTTCACGATTTCAATCGGACAGAAGTTTTAATTCCTTTGACACGTCAGAGCTTCTGTCTATTTTGTAAATTTTTTTAATAGCATATTTAACTTATTTAAAAGATATTCTTATTTAAATAAGCCAATTATTAGTATTAATCAATTTCGATGTCTAAGATCGTATTTACCAATCGTAAAATAATATTTTAACGATTCATATTTGGATAGAATTTTGACTTAGGATCATTTTTCCAAGCATCGTCGTAAACTAAGACTTTGTTTTATCGGGCAATTAAGTCACCCTTTGCACTTCGTGCACGTTGAACGATTGTATCGCGTTGTCATGATCGACAATAACTGGGCGATCGTAAACGATACTCTCGAGCGATAAACGCGTAAGTGACGTTAATGCTCGTCGTTGCGCGACGTACGATCGTCGATAATCGACGGAAATTGAAATCGAACACATGTTTGTCGCCATTTGGCTTCGTTAATTGTACAAAATGCGGGTAATGTATGATTCAGAGGGGCAAACAATATTGCAAGTCTGATATCGGCTTGTTTTGGTTGAATATCGAAACGACAGCGATTTGTGAATATATTAGGACGTGTTTTACGATTTTCCAGTACTCGATCGAGTAGCAGTGGTGGTTCGAACGGTCATCGGTATCACGGCAAGTGCAAGTGAAAACGGACTTTCTGTGATCAGACGAGCGCGTTTCTAGCGGCCGCTGGATCTGAAAAGTGCGCGTCGGCCTACTTTCGCGAAACGAGCGTCCTGACGCTCTCGTGTTCAACGACGCCTTCGAGCCTGGGCCGCGTGCTCCGTGAAATCGAGGGTGATTTACATTAAACCGATCCAATTAATCATTTCGTAATTGCCTCGCACTTGGACACTATATCCATACACTTGTGATTCGTTTTTACTCGATCACAGCCAAACGAACTAAAATTTTACGTTCGTTAATTAGAATCTGTTGTCAGGATTCATTTTTAACTAGTTTAAAATCCATGTTTTTTCCTTCTTTTCTTTTTCTATTATTTAGTAATTTTTTAGAAACTGCTTTTTAGTATTTTTTAATATTTTACCTTGAGAATTAATTTTCCTAGGTCCTCGGCGAAAAATCAACGTGTTTAAAAAGTTTGTTTACGAGCAGGTCGAAAAGTTTTGGTCGTTATTCGAGAAAAGAAATTTGCACGACTCCGAACCGAGAACAGGAATTAATTAAACTTTCTCGCGGGAGCCAGGCGACGTTCGTTACATTCACTCGTCGTTAAACGTTCTTCAAACATTTCAGTTACGTATCATTAGCAGAGAAAAGCATGGAAGGAAATTTTTTTTACTATTTACAACTATCGTACAATGGTTTTTGATAAGTAGGAAATTATTCAATAGACAATGGTACAAGCCACTTATCGTTTACTTGAAAATATAATTAATTTGAAATACGAAATAAAATTAACGCAATAGTGAGTTAAAAACAGGTTAGTTTACATCTACAACTTGATCTTAGACATTTTCCAATCAGGTGCCCCTCAAATGAAATTTTTTAAAAATAACTTTGATAAAATTATAAATGAAACATTTTCTAAATATAAATTATGTACCAGAAAATTATTGATTTTAATATATAGTGTCCACGTATGTTACAGTCAGATTCACAAGGGTTACAGAAAATTGATCCATCGACGTACTTGCGAATAAACTTTGCGGATCGATGTTTCTCGTTAGTTATTTAATTTTCACGCAAAGTCGAGGGAATTTTTTTCGTTACACAATGTGTTCGTTATCACGATGTTAACAAGGTGTAACTTGGAGGAATGCCCCTAACTCCTCGATTATTACACACGTCTTCGTAAGACAATGTCGGGCATTCACCGGGTTTCACACATCCTAAGAACTTTCTCCCGTGTCTCGGGAGTGAAAATATGAAAGTAGCTCAGACAGATTACTCTCTCCCTCTCTTTCTCTCCTTCCCTTATTTTGCATCCGCGGATCGCCGCTGATCAATTTTTCGAGCGCCCCCATCTTGGCGAAAGAAAGTTTTTGCACCGACTCTTCTCCATTCGAACACGACAAAGTTGACAAATATTTCATGCAACCGCGATTTTAAAATAAATACGTTCCAAACAATTTGAATCGCAAAAGAAAATTTTTTCCTGCAATATTTAATTTATAGCTAATTCAACTCTGGTTCGATTCTTTTTATTATCTGCTATTTAACTTCTTTGTTATAAAATGTTGCTCCTGAGACTTAATCTCTTTCGATTAAAATTGATAGCTAATGTATTTGCGTCTAATTAAGTTTAGTAATTTTAATTCGCCTCAAATTTTTCGAAAGAAAGATTTTGCACCGAGTCAAATATTTTAAGTAAATTAAATTTATAGTCAATTGAACTCTGGTTCGATTCTTTTTATTATCTTCCATTTAATTTCTTTATTATAAAATTCTGCTCTCCAGACTTGAAATTGATATCTGACGTGTTCGTGTCTTAAGTTTAATAGTTAGTATTCGTCTAAAATGTTTCGTGGCGCCAAGGACTAAGTTTGAAGATGCATTCCGTCGGTTTGAATCGATATTACAATTTCTATAGATATTCTTTGTACGGTTCTTAGGATTCCTAGTCGTAACTTTTACTTTTAACGTTATCCTGCCCGAGCATTCTCGGAAGTTTCGAACCGACATAACGGCACTCCGCGCCACACATCTCGAAAGAGTTAGTCCTCTTGCATCGATTCAACCTCGATCTGCAGCTACACGGTTTACGTAAGAGATTCTACTTTCTACCGTGGCGCACAGTTTTATTATAGAGATTATTTTCAGAGCCGACAGATAACCGGTGTCCCACGTAATCTCGTAATTATTTATTTATTCGCGCTCGTTTCCGTAACGGGCTTTCCTTCTTCCCCACCGGAATTCCGCGTCCAGGGCCCTCTGCAACAAACTAATCTGTCTCTCGTTGGACGAAAGGCGTGCTCGGAACTCTCTGGATCCGGAAGCTGCGATCCGATCCGATGGAAAACTGCTATTAACGTGTTGAATAGTGGGAGAGAAAAGAAGAAAACGCAAAGGTGAAACGTTCCAGCAACTTCGCGGGGGGAAAAGAGGCAAATTATACATGAAAAAGAAACAAAAGCATAACTCTGCACACGATTTTTTCCTAGACAGACTAGACCTGTTAGGTGTTAATTAGAGTTGAGCTAAATTTTATTTCATAGATAAATAAGCAATGTAATTTATTAACGAAAGCCTAACGTTTGGACTTTAGAGTCCTTTAAACAATCTTGACCTCTTCAGGACCAAATTATTTTATTGCTAACAAACAGAAATGCAAATTGATATTCACCCACAACGCCCATCAATTTTCTGACAATGTGACATCATTGCAAAATTTAACTATGAAAATTAATTACTCTAGTGGTTACTATTATGATATAATATTCAAAGTAACTTAAATACTAGACTGAGTAATTTTGTATATTACTATTGCAGAATAGCTTAAATTAATCAAACATTCCATAGAAAATCTAAAAAAAGAATTGCAAAGATAAAGACTATCGAGAGTTTCGAGAAGACCTAATTCGATGACCACGGGTGGTAGTAACGACATTTTAAGTATTTTATAATTCCAGCAATGGATGGAAATGTACTTTACTTGCGAATTAGGTACTTGAATTTAACACGAATCCAAAGTCACATCTCGAGATTAGAATTACAATTAATTTTGTATATTGCTATTGCAGAATAACTTAAATTAATCAAACATTCCATAAAAAATATAAAAAAAAAATTGCAAAGATAAAGACTATCAAGAGTTTCGAGAAGACCCAATTCGATGACCGCGGCTGGTAGTAACGACATTTTAAGTATTTTATAATTCCAGCAATAGAGGGAAATGTACTTTACTTGCGAATTAGGTACTTGAATTTAACACGAATCCAAAATCACATCTCGAGATTAGAATTACAATTAATTTTGTATATTGCTATTGCAGAATAACTTAAATTAATCAAACATTCCATAGAAAATCTAAAAAAAGAATTGCAAAGATAAAGACTATCGAGAGTTTCGAGAAGACCTAATTCGATGACCGCGGGTGGTAGTAACGACATTTTAACTATTTTATAATTCCAGCAATAGAGGGAAATATACAAATTTACTTACGAATTAGGTACTTGAATTTAACACGAATCCAAAGTCACATCTCGAGATTAGAATTACAATTAATTTTGTATATTGCTATTGCAGAATAACTTAAATTAATCAAACATTCCATAGAAAATATAAAAAAAAAATTGCAAAGATAAAGACTATCGAGAGTTTCGAGAAGACCTAATTCGATGACCACGGGTGGTAGTAACGACATTTTAAGTATTTTATAATTCCTGCAATAGAGGGAAATGTACTTTACTTGCGAATTAGGTACTTGAATTTAACACGAATCCAAAGTCACGTCTCGAGATTAGAATTAGAATTAATTTCGAGTAAAGTTTGCTCGACTCTGCTCGATAAAAAATGGATACCAGCGTGCAAGACGATGGGAGAAGGAACGAAGAAAATTAGATACCCGGAGAGAAATAGAAGAAGGAAGAAATATTGGACGGTGGAAAAGAGAAGGAAGTGGCGAGCGTGTCTCGTAAACGTCGTTTCGTGGCACGTTTATTACATGAGCTGACTTTTGACGTGGAACGTTGCACTTTACGGAAGGAACGCCGCGAAGGTGGGGCTCGCCGCCATCGAGCAAAACTCGTAGCTCTCTACCGGTCCTAGGAAGGACGTCGATATTCATTTATTCCCACGTTCAGGAAGGAACGCGGACCGGCACGGAGCTAGACGCTTACTTTTCCACTGAATTTTGTCGTTGCGC